CCTGGCATTTTTCCGAGTTTAGGGTTGAAGATAAGATTGTGTGATATGAATGGCTAAGGAGTTATCGGCATTAGGATTTGCAGACTTGTTTTTATCATGACCATCTTTAGAAACTATTATAAAATTTGGTCGTGATGGTTAAGGAACCCTTTGGTTGATTTTTTTGGTATTGTTGGTTTGATACTGAATCCTAATATCCTATGATGATGATACTATTTGGCTTTAAGGTGTCATTAACTAGATTGTGTTGGAGTCTCGTCTTTTATCTCCCTTACCTTGTTTTAATCAAATATATGCCAATGGGAGCTGTCTTAATCCATCCAGTTCAGCACCAATATTTTAATTTTCGGTGGTTCTGTGACCAATTTGTGTGTCTTCTATGCGAATCTGCCGATTATCTCGAGCTTGCTTCTATGGAAAGTAATCAGATGAAAAGAAACGCTACTAGATTATCAATACCAATATATTAATTAATCATCATCGTGAAGACACAAACTTATAACATAAAAATAGCGAGCAAGTCTAGGCACAGAATACCGACAACTATCATAACAAACACCAAGAAGCTTCAAATGCAACTACCAAGAGAGTTTGCTTATTTATGCATTAGAGACTTAATTATACATAAACACCACCAAGGCAAGGTTGTTCACTGAAGGACAATGCACTCAGAGGCAGTCCCACTCGTGATCGGACCTCCATGGGTTCGGTTGCTCTTCTGGTTACTAGGGTTTTGCTGGTGAACTACGGTTCCTTCGAGCTCATCTTGGTTACTACAACCTATTGCTTCAAAGATGAGAGCATTAACCTCCTTAAACCTTTCCTCTGACAGAGAAGCTTCTGCAAGGAGCCTCCATGCATTCTCCTCTGAAGCTCCTTCATAATCCTCTTTCCTCTTCAGCACCATGTGACCACTTATCTCCCACACGGCTGGATTCACCTGCGTTTCCAACACCTCGGCGCTTACTTCACCTAGAGCCTGTTTCTCTGCGTAACACTGCAATTACCACATTCAAACTGTCATTTACTTTTTATTCTATGGATTTGAAACACATAGTGATCAAGCGGTTTGCCAGCCAAAGTCATACCTGTGGCATCAAGAAGATCTGCCTTCCACAATCAGAGATGAGAATGTTGAAAGGAATGTTGTTGTTCTGGAGGCAAATGCAGGCGTCTGATACAGTATCAGATAGGTCTTGCATAGAGTTTCCACCTTGAAAGAGAAGACTTCTCACAGGGTAACTCAGAAGCTCTGAGATTTTCACACCATTGATAGTGGTAATCATCTTCTTGGAAGGAGCTTTCTCTAATGAGAAAGGCATGGCCAAGTAATATGCCTGTTTCCAAAACGATCACCACCAAAACAATCAGAACAAGTCATATTTGGACAATAAGCGTAAGAAAAAAGAGTTTTGCTCGGGTCAATATCTGGTGTACCTGAAAGTGAAGATGGTTAATAGTGGCAAAAGCACCAAGGCTGTTGTAACCGAGTCTGAAGTAAGGATTAGCGGCCTCAGCAGCCATGTGAAGTGCAAGCAAAAAGCTTTTGTGATCGATCCTCTGAGGCAAGCAGTCAAGAACACGAGGAATCAGCAGCACATGGCCATACTCGATCGGACTAACCTGTTTAAAACAATAAAGAATTAATCTTTTGCTAGATAAAAAATACTATCAAACCAATTAAGAAAATATAAAAAACTAGCCAAGCTCTCTGCACGAGATTCTTTACATTGATGGCAACAACACTGGGAGAATTATCAGCATCAAGAGGCATGCACGGGAAGAACTGAACTTCGCCATCTTCACCAGCTTCAAACTGGAAGAGCAACTCTTCTTGGCCAACTTTAGTGAAGTTGAATTTGTTGCCATCAAAATCCTGCAGAACCTTATCAACACGGAACTCAGTAGGCCTCTTCTTTAGGTGACGACCCTCGTTAAGCTGAGCCACGAAACCATACTTGCCCGGAATGAGCTAAAACAACAAGAGTTACAATCTTAAGAACAATGTGAAACAAATCTCAGCAACAAACAAACATCACCAGATTAGCTTTAGAGTTTACAGAGACAATTACTTTGGTTTCGCAGGCTGTGACATCGTAGCGAAAAAGTCCTCTTTGGAACCTATCCTCCCACTAAACACACAAGTATTGACATTCACAATGAGTAACTAAGACTCTTTAAAGCAATAGAATAAAAGATCAGAATAACAAATCGGTGTTTATGATTTTACCTCTCCGAGAACGAGAGATTCGAGAAAAGCCACAGGAGGCTCTACCGGCTTCTCGCCGACGACAGATATTTCCAGTTTCTTGCAAGCGTACAATGGAAGTCTTGCTCCTGAACAAACACAGCGACAGAAAAATCTTCAAAAGATGAAACAAACATGCAAAATCCTAACGATTGAGGTTTCAACGCGTACCGTTAATGCAACAAGCAGAGAGGCAATTCCGTCCACAGCCGACGGACTCATCAGCCGCCTCATCCTTCTGGTAATTCGACACGACGGTAGGAACCCTCTTGATTTTCAACATTCTCGAAAAGCAAAATCCGAATAGCAGCAAAAGAGAAAAAGAAAGCGCAATTCAACACAAACTAAAAAAGGAAAAACTCTACAGTACTAAAACCTAAAACCTAATGGAATGGTAGATGACGAAACCGCCTCCGGCGAGAAAGAGGAGATCGGAAGGACTGCCGCCTTCAGACGGCAGAGCTCCACGCCCTCCGTGCGGCGAAGGATTAGTCTCGATTAAACAACCCTTGCGTCGAACAATATGGGCATGAAAGCTAGCACCGCGACTTATCCCGTATATAGCCGTGATGCCGATCACCTGTTCCCCGAGTTTTAAGAAATCGAACGCCGGAAAACGAACCCGACACTCAAAACTGCAGAATCTGAGAGACGAAAACGATATACAAACTCAAAGAGAGAGATCTTTTGCTGTGGGTTTCAATTGGAGATTCCTAAATTGCTTTTTCTTCTTCTTTCGATAGTGTGTTTTGGGAAATCGAATGGCTTTAAATAGATAGGAGATGAGTGAACCAGAGGCGAGAGACGACACAATCCATATTTATATCTCAGAAATAATGAATTTCTTTTTGTGCGGTTGTGATTCTGACGTGAAGTTTCCTTACGTCTTTCTTTTCAGATTTTTTACTCACTTTATTTTCTTCAAATATTATTTTAATACAACAAACTAGTCC